CGACCGAGGGCGCGTCGAATGGACATGGGCTACAATGAAGGGGCCCCAGGACACACAAATAAATACACACAAATAAAAATAGTCCCCATATTTTCCCATGTTTGTTTGGTTTTTGTCTTCCCCCCCACTTCCCATATTTTCCCATATTTTCGTGGGAATCGAAGATGAATTGTGTCTGTGTGTTTTTATCCCTCCTGCTACAACTAGTCCCGCGTTTTCGCTGCGAGCACGGGTCGGAGGAAAACCAGCCGGCCGGAAGGGTCTACCTGCCAAGAGATGCTCGTCTCTAGCATTGAGCTGAACCGCTGCCAATCCCACCCCAACCCGCTGATTTATAGGCGGGGCAGGTCTATGGTAGACCCGTCAACAAGGACAGGGGTCAAGCGTTTATCTCCGGCAACGCACATGCTGGTCTAACATTTTGATGTCCCAATCCTGCCGAGGTTCCGGGGTATCCAGTTGTGCTTCCCACCGCCAGCCACCTGGAAAATAGCGAATGAATTGGGGTGTGGTCATGCTTCTTCCATCCATAATGGTCCCACAAACTCCCGATCGCGTACTTCCCCAATGCGGGCATTCCCAAATTCGTTGAAAACGCATGGCAAAACGGCCGCAAAAGGGGTCATTCCCAATGCCAGCATAACCCCATCCTCTTCAAATTTTCACCTAGATGGAAACGTCGCAATATACCTTCAGCGGCCCCCCTGGAGCTCAGCCCTGCGATAGGGTGCTTTCTCTGAAACGGAGTCCCACCTCAAGCTGGAGATTGCAACGTCGGCGCCGGAGATTGCAGCGTCGGCGCCGGCTGGCAACGCAACTCTGGACTGAGCTGTCTTTGAATTGTTTGCGGAACTCGGGGCTGATCCTCTTCGGAGCTGTTGTTCGCGAGTTCCATGCTCTGTCCCCCCTTGACGTCCAACTTCGCTGCCGAGCTAAACTTTCAGCCGACATGGTCTACCCACGGGAGAAGACGCCAATGGACATCGCGCTGCCGCGCCGTGTTGTCTTGCTGCTGCTGACGACATCGCGCACTGCATGCTCGCGCGCATCCCGTAACTCCCAAACCGACAGGGCGTCCGCATGAGTCAGTTGTTCCGGTCTGGCCGAGCTGCTGCCCCTCCATTCCGTGGAGCATCGTCCAAGACCTGACCCCAGACACGCGATGGGGCCCCTGTCCCTGCCGGTACTCCACCATGGGACTGGTTTGGCCGCTTCGACCTTGCTACTGGGGGCGGAGCCTCCGAGCGCGCGAACTTTTTCGATTTGTCCAGGTGCGGAACCGCGACTGTTGGCTCCGCAAGAGAGAGCGGACGCGGCCGCCAATGCAGAGTACCTGCTCTTCAACTGCTTGGCTTTCCTCCCGGGGAGGTCTCGCGCGCTCTATCGCCTTGGGCGCAAATTAAGCCGTCGCTTTCTCCGCGTATGACGGGCCCCAGGGCGACGCTGGCGCTTCCCACGGGTGTCATTTATCCCTGGGTTGACTGCTGCTTGGTCCGCCTCCCCTTCCAATTGAACCGAGCCTGCCTCGTATGAGGCACAGCACCCGCCTGCCGTGATGCCTCTCTGCGGATTCTTGGCTTCGAACGCGCTTCCATCTAAAAGCCGCCTGCGCGGCCACCTGTGTATATGTATGTTGGGCATCAATATGTGGACTGGATGCTTCGTGTACTCCAACTGCTTGACCATGAGAGTGTGACCAACGCTCTCATACTATGACCTCGTCCCCACAATAACCTGTGATAATGAGGGTCTTTTGCCCGCCGCTAACTCACTTCGCATGGCCTGTCGCCATACGGTGTCCTCGGGAGACCCTCGTGTGAGTGGCTGAGAAGTGGCCCCCATGCCGTACTCTTCCTCCCACTGCTTGCAACCTCTACTCATTACCTTCCCTTCAACTCTCAAGCCCTGGGGAGAAGACAAAACACATTCTCCCGGGGCTTTTGTGTGTCTTTTCCAATTGCATGTCCATCATTTACCTGACCTGCGGCGTCGAGCAAGGGACGTCCATGAGCTGTGTCATGAGCGCTGCTGTCCCCATGCGCTGCTCACTGGCCATGCTAAAACGTCTGGGATACAGTCCGTTGGGTCGGCACGTGCACGCCTTGAATGTGTCGGCGAGATGCTACAAATCGCTGGCGCCGCTGAGCTCTGGGACGAAAAGTGGCAGGTAGCTCGCCACGTCGTCCAGGACAGTTGGGGTCATCAGTGGCTGCCCACTTGTCCCCCCAGGCTGATAACTTGTGCTGCAGGTGGACAGCGACGAGGTGGAGGAGACCTCCTCAGACCATGCCTCTTCTGCATCACGGCAGTTCTTCCCATTACGATGTCGGTATCTGTGCGAACAGGTTATGTCACATGTTTTGTCTACCTATGCGTGCCAGGCTTTCGAAATATGCTTTCCTTGCCTTGTAGCCCATGCCAACATGCTTCAAACACCTACAACACATGCGTAACAGGCAACCCCCAGCGCTTAGGCGATGTCAACAATGTACTCTTGGACAATGTCGCTTCCTGCCTTTCAGCGGGCCCTGAACGACCCGTCTCTCTTGGACACTCCTAAGACGATGCAACTGCTTGCGCAACTCATCCCTTGGCTTCCTAGAGCGCTTTCCCCCATCATGACGTGATGCAGACTCCCGGAGACGATGCGTTATCCATAGCATAGACCTTCCTGGTCATTTCTGGGATGATACTTGCATTTGAGGAGCTCCGCGAGTGGCTTGGCAGACGTAGTCATTGCCGTGCCAGGCAGGTGCCCTTAGGGAGGGTCTCTTCCCTCCTCCTCCTCCTCCTCCCCCTCCTCCCTCCCTCCCTCCGTCCTCCTCGTGGCCCCGCCTTTCCTGCATATTGTTTTTTACGAACATGAGTTCGATGGCCGTACTTTAGTATGTGCTTTTCAATGTCGCACATTTGCCGAGGAGCAGAAATCAGATGAACATGGACTTTCGGAGGTCCGCGCTGATTTCTTGGATCAGAGATGGGCCCCCCTCTCTGGCGAGCGGAGCGTGCCAAGGTCGGCGCCAGAGGCGCCGCCAGGAGGCTCTAACGCCGATCCAAGCACTCTGCGTGTACCTCCAAAACATTATGATTGTTGGATATGTTGTGCTCCTCGAACCGTTGCTCCCGACTATCCTGCGGAGCTGCGTTATCCGTGCTTCTCGTGGGCGAAAAACATAACTGTATCCACGGCCTCGCAGGCCGGGCCCCCGGGCCGCGACCCAGTGGATACGGGGCGTTTTCTCGCGGACGCCCCGCGCGGAACGTATCCGTGCGACCACAAACCCGCGGGATGGCGCCCAGGAATATCCAGACCGCGAGGGCGCGGACACAGATGTAAGAGAGCAGAAGTCCACCATCATCGTAAGCACCCCAACAAGCGAAGCCGTGTGGTAAGCGCACCCAAGGAAGGGACCGAACAGGGAAGTGCTGATCAGTAAACGCCCAGGGCGGTAGAGCAAACGCCAGTTGTCTTGGTCGGAATGGATTTCCCTCCCTTGGAATATAATAAAAAGAAACCAACATGCACATAAACATAACTTTTGGCGCTCTTCGCGGATTTCTGGGATCGCGCTGGACCCGCGGCGCCGGAGGCGCCGCCGTGGGGCCCCAGGCGCGGATCCAAGAAGCTCGCGCGGAGCGCCAAAAATTTATGCTTATATGTTTTTGTTCTTCTTCGATTGAAATCTGTGCTCGCCGCTCGCGAGCCTCCTGTGCGGGGCTCCTGGCCTTGGGTTCGGACGCCCGAAATGTGTACGGAAAAAATGGGCACAACGCCCAGCAGCAAATGTTGTCCCGAACCAGCAGCGGCCGCTGTCGGGCAGGCGGCCTGCTGCCTCGAATGGACACACAGGCCGCGGCGGCGTGGACAGCGAGTCCGGTTCAAAAGGAACAGGGTCCGCTGTTGGGCATGGCGCCCACTCTTTCCGTGCCCAATTTCTGCTCATATGTTTTTTTGTTCCTCTTCGATTGAAATCTGTGTTCGCCGCTCGCGAGCTTCCTTGGCGAGGCTCCTGGCCTTTGGGAGGAGGAGGAGGAGGAGGAGGAGGAGGAGGAGGAGGAGGAGGAGGAGGAGAGGAGGAGGAGGAGGAGGGAGGAGAGGAGGAGGAGGAGGAGGAGGAGGAGGAGGAGGAGGAGGAGGAGGAGGAGGAGGAGGAGGAGGAGGAGGAGGAGGAGGAGGAGGAGGAGGAGGAGGAGGAGGAGGAGGAGGAGGAGGAGGAGGAGGAGGGGGGGGGGCGCGCCTGGCGAAGTCCGCCTCCCGCCGCCGGGCCTCGAGGCAGCTCGCGCCCTGGGCCTCCCCGGCGCCGCCGTGGGGGCCCCAGCCTGGGCGGGGCGGGGCGGCCCTGCGTGGCGGCACGCGCTAAGTCGGGGGCTGCGGGGCGCTCGGACGTCCATTCCCTGTGTTTTTGTTCGGTTTCGTGCGTGTTTTTTTCGCCAGATGGTCGAGGATGCTCCTCGAAGGTCCTCGCCGAGAGAAAAAAAGCACACGTCCGAGCGATGCCAAGACAGGGACCAGCCGTCCCGGCATTCCTATGGTCATACCACGAAATGTTCTAAGAACTAAAACCATGTTCTTAGAACGTGGTCCCGATGTGTTAAAACAAGACAGTCTCCGCCAAAAATGTTCTAAGAACATCTCGTGGGAACCACAAGCAGTTCTTAGAACATGGTTTGGTGGGGCTATAAGGGAGCCGGGACGCTTCGCCACTGCTTGAAATGGTGCCTCTCTGGCCCGAGGGTGCCCTCGGCTTGTCGCCCAGTCCTGGAGCCCCCTGGGGCCCTCGGGGCCTCGCGAGGGGGCGCTCTGGAGGCCGTGGGGGCCTCCCTGGAGATCCCGGGGGCACCCTGTGCCAGAAGCACTTCCAGGCAACACCCAGGACAAGGGGGGTGGAGGAAGGGGGGAAGGCTGAGGCTTACTGGAAAGAGGCTGCTCCTTAGATGGCGCCGGCTCTGCATCTGCAGATGGGGCCCGCGCCTGCTTGGAAGCAAGGGTGCTTCTAAGCAAACCTCGCCTCCCCCCACCCCCCTCCGTGCGTGGCTGACTTCTCTTGCCCCCGTGCTCTGGGGGTCCCGATGCCATGTGATGACAAGCCACGCGGGGATTTCGAAATTCCAAAGGACCTCACCGCACGGTCCGTCACCGTACGGTTTTGGGACCTCGGAGGCATTAGTTCCCGAAGCACCCTCGGAGAACGACCCGAGTCCCAGAACCGCGCAGGCAAGCAAGAGCCGCGCCCTGACGGCGCATCCGCAGAACATCGACTGCTGAAGACGTACCTGAAAAAACATGCGGGCAAATATGCGAGAGCTCCAAGACAGCCCGACAGGGTACCAAGATGGCCCGAAGAAAATCCCCTGACGGCCCACACTCCAAATCGTGATCCGGTCGTTGAGGGAGACCATGGTTCGCAGCAAAGTGTCCCCAAGAAGCCCTCAGATGCCCTCCGGAAGCTTCTCGAGAAACCAACAGGAAACCCATGCGAAGGCTTCAGGCTTCGTCAGGCCCACAGGATGCTTTCCAAAGTGGATCCTGGGCCCAAACAAACCGAGGAGAGGTAACGGTTTTCAGAGTAAGGCGACAATTAGGAGGAGGAAATATGAGAAAGGAGAAAGGACACACACATACTTGCTGTAATGTCGACGACGAAAACGACAGCAGGGAGTTATCTACATTGTTACTGGTTTACCTCTCTCTCATTCTGCCCGCAGGCCCACGGTGCACGGCACGAAGTCCCAAAGCAGTCGAGCACACGATGTAATAATGAATAAGCGTGGATCTGTAAATCTATATATATATACACATATATCTATATATACATATATATATATATATATATATATATAATATTTATGATGTACACAAAACTATGTATGCTATAGGATGTACACAAACAGCCATCTTGTGCCCCACGCACTACCTGTGCACTTCACTCTGCGCTGCACGCGAAGGGAGCAAGCGAGCGAGTGGAACCCGCAAGCTCCGCGTCGTCGAAGCCGTGGAGCTCCGAGCCGGCCGCCCTCGGGCCCTGGGGCGAGGACAGAGCAAGACTCCCTCTGCACGGCATCCTGCCCGCTTCCCAGTCCCCGCACGCCGTCTTGCCCGCTCTTTTTCTCTCGCGCGCACACGCCTCGGCACCACAGCCAGAGGCAATGCAAGCCCGTTGGGACCACATGCCCGCGCAGTACTTGACTGGATGTCGGAATACCACAAAAACGCAGGAGCACAGAAGGTGGTTCGTGTGCTGCCTGGGTAGAGGCACGCCATCCTGCCCGCTGCCCACCCACACCTCGGGAGCGAGGCCCGCGCCGAGACCGTCGCACGACCACCCCTGCGGCCAGCCCCCTGCACGCGCAGCTCCCGGCGCAGCCCGCGCAGCCCGCCCGCCCGCGCGCTGCCCCATCGGGCCGCCGCGGGGTCGCGGGCGCGCCCCTGCGCCCGGGCACGCCCGCTCGACCTTGCCCCCCCTGCCCTCCACGTTCCCCATGCCCCCCTCTCAGCCTTTCCCAAGACCCCGTCGTCGAGCTGCTCTCGCACCGCGAGAGCCCCACCTCTCGAGCCCTTCCACAGCACCGGCGTTTTGCACCCCCAGTGGTCTTCTGACAGTCCCCAGGGCACGGCGAGGGCCCCAGGAGGCTGAAAAGTAGAGAAACACCTTCCGTCGTGTTTTGTTTTCACGGGGCGAGGCTTCGTGGCTTTCGTGGTGACGCGAGGGCCTCCCCCAGTCCCTGGTTCTCGTGCCATCACAGCTCTCTGGCGGCCGTTTGGGAGGGCGCCCTCGGCGAGGCACAGCCGCTGGACGGCATCCCGAGTCTCGAAAGCCGACGGGAATCAACGACAACTCATGAAAACCTCGAGCCTCGAACACACCAGCGTCCACATACGCCCAGAGGGCTCTTTTTTCACTTGTATCCTTGCTCCACGCCCCTCCTCTACCCCCCACTCCCCTTGGCAAGCGCACTTGCGTGGCACTTCCATCCCCCCCGTCCCCCTCCGCCACCTGTACAGCGCTAGTCTGAGGTCGGGCATGTCCTCATGATGGCGAATTTTGGATGAAAAATAAACAGGAATCGAACACAATCAAGAATAGTCAAAGAAGTACGAAAAGTCGTGGCCAGACTTTGTTTTACTTAGGAGGCAACTACTGGGAGGTCTTCATCGGAAGAATTAAGAATACTTCAGCCCTATTGGGGGGCTGCTACACCGGATTAGGACGCGGATTAAGCGGGATTGCGCCGGATTGAGCGGGATTAAGCTGGATTCAACGGGATACATCCAGATTTCGGACCAGGGCAAAGTCAGGATCTGACCTCCCAGAAGTTGCATCCGAATTTGCTATTCTTTGAATACTCCTCCTGTAGCGGGAGGTGCCCGACTTGACGCTGGGCCGAGACGGCGTGCAAGCGAGTCCCGACCTGCGAGAAGCCCCGATGTCCTTCCGGGCCTCAACACACGACCCCCCGCCTCCAGGCACGAGTGTACCTGCCAGCATCGGCAGAACAGCTGGCTCCGACATCGAAGGAAGACGTCCGAGCGAGCGAACGAAGCAGCCATACGTCAAACGCGCGTGGGCCAAACGAACGGCGAACATATCGCGGCGAACAACATCAGGGACACGCCAAACGCGTGCCGAAACTGCATCGAGATGCGCCGAACGCGTATCCTCACAAACCTGACGCGCCAAACTCGCGCCTGGAGGGTCAGGATCGGAACAACAAAACATATCGTGTGGACGGTGCATGGACACGGGTCGGAGATAATCTTCCCTGGCCAATTACAGATACCAAGGGTGGCCCAGAGTAGCCCGCCTTGCACATCCTGCTCACATCTTGTGGGCAGGTGACCCGAGCACCCCACTCCTTCTCTTCTGGTGTTCGAAATACGGCGCGTTTGGACGGCAGCGTATGCACTTGTTACTGGGCCCTTGTAGCGAGAAGCCTCGTAGCGAGAACGCTGCGCTGTTTTTTGTTTCTATTCTTGGAGAAGGCCGCGCGCCGAGTGCCGCACGTTTTTTTCTTCGGTCGCAGCAGGCTGCTGAAAGAGGTCGGCAAGCAAGGTGACTGGACCCACTCCCTCTCTCCTTGTCATCGCTTTTGCTGTAGGCCCCGCTCTCCATGGATCGCGGATCCTGCTGCGCAAGCTGGACACTTGAAACTGGGACCCTGCCCCTCCTCCCGCCGCTGCGGTCCCCGCCCCCCCCCCCCTCCCCTCCTCCCTCGCCCCCCGCCCCACCTCCCCGCCCTGCCCTCCCCGACTTCCCAGAATCCATGAGGAAGCTTCCCGCATGTGGTCCGCGCAGAGGGGTCGGAGGATCGCGCTGCAAAAGGCGCTGCATCGGCGCTGCGCCGCCGATGCCTCGACGATGCAGCGGCGACGCAGGCGGTGCACCGCCGACGTCGAAGGGGCGAATCCTCCCACCGCCACCCTCCAGCGCCGCTCCGCCCTCCTCGCTGCACGTCTGCCTTGGGAGGATGCACGTGGGGTTCGGGCGCAGGGTCCTGGCAATGGTATCTCTACGGGCCATGCATGGGCGATACATCTTCGATTGCTGTGTTCGGCGGGGGGGCCAATTGAAACTCCCCGCCTGTGCCCGTGCGCGAGACTTGAGGGTAAACGGAGCGAGGGACCGGGGGTCTGGGGAAAAGCGACGAAGGCAACGTGCGCTGAGGGCGCAAGAAAAATGTTGGAATAATCGAAGTCTTGGGGTTCGACAAAGTACCGTTTAGTAACATGCGCGGTCATCAATCGCACAATCAAGACACTTGCACTCCACTTCGCCGCCCCACGCGCGACATACAAGAACGCCCGTACGCATGAATGATTATGGATGGACGGCGCGTTTGCCCGCGCGGGCAAAGCGCGGGCACAACGACTGGCCCTCCATGACCGCCAACATTGGATGCCACATCGGCGATGCGGCGCCGTCCTCCGACCCCGTCAACTCGGACCCCATCTGTCGGCGGGAAACCTGGGGGGTGGGGGGAGTGAGGGGGGGCGGGCCTTCCCAGAAGCCTCGTAAGCCCTCCAGCCTTCCGGAGAAAAAAATCGACCCCCTCCCCGAAAAACTCTTCAGAAGGCCCCGAGGGTTTCCGAGAAGCCCCGCCGCCTTCTGAGAGAATGCCTCTTCCTTCTCATTTCCCCCCCTCGCTCGTCGCCGAATCCAGGCCTCGAATGTAAAAACTGAACAGGGACCGGCCGCCCCGGCATTCCTATCGGCCACCACGCAATGTTCTTAGAACCCGAAGCCTTCCCCGAAGACACAGAAACACTTCTCAGAACGCCCGAAGGCTTCTGGGAAAACCCGCCGCCTTCCGAGGATGCCTCCTCCTTCTCACTTCCCCCCTGGGCGCGCCGCCGAACATTGGTCAATCCTACCAGCCCTCTGGGCGTAGGTGGTTCAGGGAGTTTTCTCGGGGAGGGGTTTACCCCTCCCCCCCCCCCTGGACCTCGACGGGGGGGTCCGAGCCGCGTTGGAAAGTCCAGGACGGCCTCGGCGAGGAAGCCAAAATCATTGGTTTCACTAAGGCTGTGGCCTCATGTTGGCATCCTGAAGGGGGGGGGCTAATTTAGCCCCCCCCCCCCCCCCCCCCTCCTGTGATCGATCCTTTCCAAAATGGCCCCAAGAGGCGCCCAGGAGGCTCCAAGAGGCCCCAAAATGGCCACAAGGTGGCCCCATGTGGCCCCAAGAAGCCCCCAAGAGGCCCCCAGGATGCCCCCAAGAGGCTCCCAAGAGGCACCCCGTAGGTATTTAAGATGCTCCAAGAGGCCTCGGCGAGACTGCCAAAATCGCTGATGTTACTAAGGTTTTGGCCACATTTGGGCCTCCTGGGGGAGGGCACTGCTTCAGATGACTCCAGGAGCGCCTGGGAGAGCCCAAGGTGACCTCCAAGATGGCTCAAGATACCCCGAAATGCCTCAAAATGCCCCCCACGATGCTCCAAGAGGCCCCACTACCGCTTCAAGACGGCCCCAGGTGACCAGAGAACTCCCCCACGAGGCCCCGATGAGGTCAAACCCCTTCCAAAACCTCAGGAACATCAGTGTTTTTGGCTTTCTCGCCTTTTCGCATCCGACGGCCACCCGAAGCTTCACGATGACTCCAAGATGGCCCAAGAGGGCCCCAAGAGCGTTCCCAAGGCTCCCCAAACTGCTTGAACAGGGGCCCGAAGGGCGCCCAGGAGGCCCCAGGAAGCCCCAACTGGCGCCCCAGAAGCCAAGAGGCCCCCAAAAGACCCCCAAGAGGCCCCAAGAAGATCTCCGAGGCACCCAAGACGCTCTAAGAGGCGCCCAGGACCGCCAAGAGGCTCCCAAAACGCTCCAAGAGGCCTCCACTGGGGGACCCTTCCTCTGTGTGCGGCCCACTTCCCTGATCGAGGCACTTTCTCTGGGTATCGTTTTTCCGGATGGGCTGGTGGGGTTATTTTTTGGCCAGCAGGCTCGCGAGGCGGGTCGAAAGCCGTCAGAACACTAGTCGGGCCGCGATTAGGCAGCAGGAAAAGAAAGGCAAGCGAAGCGAGCGAGCGGGCAGCCAATCAGAAGGAGAGCCAGAACCGATACTCCCAAACCCGGTGGCGTTGAAAATCCCGGTGGCGACCAGCAACTAAGCGCAGCCAAAATGGCGCGGCGGCGCGACCATAAACACGCAGAGGTCGATCGCTCGGTGTGAGTCCGGTAAACAGCAGCGTCAAAGACGAACTAGACCGACAGGCACACCCAGACGACATCCGTGAAGTAGGCGACACAAGTGCCATCGTGTCGGCACAAGAGTGAAGAGGGGCAACCTCATCACCGACAATACTGCGGCTGGTGGGGTTACGCGGAGCGTCTAGAATTTCATCCCAGGACCCCTCCCAGGGTCCATCCGGCGCGGTCTTTCACCCCGGATCGAGTTTCGAGGGCCCTGGGGCCCGACAGCGGCACCCAGAGGCTGATAATTATAAAAACCGCATCGAACCTCGAACCTCGAAGTTCGAACCTCGAAGTTTCCCCCCTCGCTCGCCGCCGAATCTGGGAGGCCTCGAGTCTCAAATGGAACACTGGGCCCCTCTCCTTGCGCGCCGCGGGCTGCACCAGCTCTGGTGGGCGCAGCTGCGGAGGCAGCACCAGCGCGCCGGCGGCGCCGATGAACGGCAGCAGCTCTGTGCCCAGGAGGACACCTGCGCGCTCGGCGGGAAAGGCTGACTCAGAAGTTCGAGGCACGAGACTCGCTTTCTGGAGGCTTCTGGTCCCCAGGGGGAAGTCCAGCCGCCTAGCGCCGAGAAGCAATCCAGACTGGGAACTTCACTCATTTGCAACCTCTGGGGGCCCTTTTCTGCTGGTCCCGGCTGGAACCAACAAAAAACAACTCGGGATGAAAAAGTCGGTTCCGGAGAATGGGTCGAGACCTCTGGTGGTCCACGTTGTGAAACGATCACGACGTCGGGGTCTGTGCAGGCAGACGAATTAAGATTGTGACAGCGATGCCCAGTAGTACGGACGACAGCAGCAGCGCGGGCTGTCGAGCAGCAGAGAGGACGACGGCAGAAGGTAGTGGCGTCACGTGGCCTGCAGCAGCACCAACCGCATCGGTTATCTGATGACCGCAGCAATTGTGACAGGACCAGAAGTCGTAGGGGCAGCACGGGCAACAAACTACCACCGCGAGGAGACCCGCGAGAAGACCCGGAAAGTAAGAATAGAACTCCCAAACAAGTCCAAACTGGCCCCGACGTTGGCATGCCTGGAATGGGCACGGAAACGATTGGCACGATGTCCAACAGCAAATGTAATCCCAAACCGACAGCGGCCGCTGCCTGGCAGACTACTATTTGTCTCAAGTGGACAGCGGCATCGACACCGACAGCGAGTCCTGCTTAAAATAAGCAGGAAGTGCTGTCGACCCTTGATACCAGGTCCCCACTCCTTCAATATCCATTCCGATCGCACCGACAGGCTCCTTCTCCAGTGCTCCCACTGTGGTTGCCCCAACAACTGAAGGGAACACGCAGTCCGCCAGCGTGGCAACACTTTCGCTCGACATTTCACAACACAGGCGCTTCAGGAAGGCAGGTTGAAGGCGGCGGTGATTCGTTGTATGCAACTTCGACCCGCCCCTGTGATTTGTCCAAGGGTGCTTGACCTGCTGAATCTTCGGCCACTTGTTGGCCCTTGCAGAAAAGCTTCCCGCAACCTCTTCGGCCCGTCACGCCGCCCGTGCCGGGCCGAGCAAATCCGCCTCGACGATAGCCAAGCTGTCTGCCTAGACGGCCAAATATGGCATCCGAGACGCTTCCCAGAAAACCGCGATGGCCCCAAGTCGGCCCAAGATGGCCCCGCGAGCCACGCTATCGTTGGATGGGTCTCTTGAGCTGTCGCCCTCTGGGTTGTCCCGAGAGGCCAACACATTTGAAAGACCGCTGGTTTTTCTCAACCATCCTGTGGTGTTGGGTCCTCGTTTTGAAGAGACAGTGCTCCGCGTCACTCCTCTCCTCTCCTCCTCCCCCTCCTCATCCCTCCTCCAAGAGGAGCTTCGCGCTGTCTCCTCTCCTCTCCTCTCCTCTCCTTTTCGGCACACCCCTCACATGTTCCGTGGCCCTACAAGGAGCTCCACCGAAGGCCCATGTGGCTGCGTTCGCATGCGCCCGCCGCGCCCATTTCGGCACACCCCTCGCGCGTTTCGTGGCCCCACAGGGAGCTCCACCGAAGGCCCAGTGGCTGCGTTCGCAATGCCCACCGCACACATTTCGGCACACCTTTCACGCGTTTCGTGGCCCCACAGGGAACTCCACCCAAGGCCCCAATGGCTGCGCTCGCATGCGCCCACCGCACCCATTTCCCCACAGGGAGCCCCACCGAAGGCCTCTGTGGTTGCGTTCGCATGCGCCCACCGCGCCCAGTTCGGCACATCCCTCACACGTTTCGTGGCCCCACAGGGAGCCCCACCGACAGTCCCAATGGCTGCGCGCGCACGCGCCCACCGCACCCAATCGTGGCCCCACAGGGAGCTCCACCGAAGGCCCCAGTGGTTGCGTTCGCATGCGCCCACCGCACCCAGTTCGGCACACCCCTCACACGTTTCGTGGCCCCACAGGTTGCTCCACCGAAGGCCCCAGTGGCTGCGTTCGCATGCGCCCACCGCACCCAGTTCGGCACACCCCTCACACGTTTCGTGGCCCCACAAGGAGCTCCACCGAAGGCCCATGTGGCTGCGTTCGCATGCGCCCGCCGCGCCCATTTCGGCACACCCCTGGCGCGTTTCGTGGCCCCACAGGGAGCTCCACCGAAGGCCCAGTGGCTGCGTTCGCATGCGCCCACCGCACACATTTCGGCACGCCTTTCACGCGTTTCGTGGCCCCACAGGGAACTCCACCGAAGGCCCCAATGGCTGCGCTCGCATGCGCCTACCGCACCCATTTCGGTACAGTCCTCACACGTTTCGTGGCCCCACAGGGAGCTCCACCGAAGGCCCCAGTGGCTGCGTTCGCATGCGCCCACCGCACCCAGTTCGGCACACCCCTCACACGTTTCGTGGCCCCACAGGTTGCTCCACCGAAGGCCCCAGTGGCTGCGTTCGCACGCGCCCACCGCACCCAGTTCGGCACACCTCTCACACGTTTCGTGGCCCCACAGGGAGCTCCACCGAAGGCCCCAGTGGCTGTGTTCCAAGGCGCCCACAGCACCAATGTCGGCACACCCCTTGCACGTTTCGTGGCCCCACAGGAAGCTCCACCGAAGGCCCCAGCACAGCCCTCATGCGTTTCGTGGCCCCTTGGGGATCGCTACCGAAGAAAATCTCCACACTTGTGGTACCCACAGCTGCATATGGTTGGGTCCTTCGCCAGGATATGTTTCAAGTGTGCTCGGATTCTCGCATGTGGGGTCTTGGTAACGTCCAATATGGCCCAACAATTCTCCAAACCTAGCCCTGTGCTGCCCAAATATGCCCCAGGAGGGCCCCGACCATGTTGGCGTGTGTGAGGGGCTTGTCTCTTCGAGTCGTCGTCTCCGTCAGTCGTCGTCTCCGTCGTCCCCTTTCCCTGCACCCTCTTCCTCAAGCTTGCCACCGAGAGAAAAATCGAGCAACCGAGTCGAAGGGAAGCCCCTTCCCTTTGATCCCTCCCCCGTCGGGGGGGGTCCCGAGAACGCGTATAGGGGGTGGGGAGGCCTGGGGGTCCTGGGGCCACAGAAAATACCAAGACAGGCCACGAATGCCCCAAGAGGCCCCCGAGACGGTCCAAGGGGAGGGCCCCCAATCGCTAACCGATCGGTCCAAAACGTCTTCACGCCCTCCAGACTGCCCACGAGGCCTCCAGGACGCCCCAAGAAGCCTCCAAGAGCACTCCCGAGAGGACCTCAAGAGGCCAAACCCATTGATGTCCAATGATTTGTTTCAAGATTTGGGCGTTCTAGCCGGTTCCACCCCCCGCCGCTCCGAGACGGCGCGAGAGGCCCTCCAAGATCGCTCCACGACGGCCCGGGAGGCCTCCGAGAGGGCTCCGAAGCAGCCCAAGAGGACCCCTAGACAACCCCAAACGCCTCCAAGACGGCCCAAGAGGCCCCCAACACGGCTCCAAGAGCGCGCCCTGACGGGGGACCCGAACGGGCACTTCGAGCGCTCGGCCCCGAAAGGCTCCCAGGAGGCCCCAAGAGGCTCCCAAGAGGACCCAAGAGCCTTCCGAAGAGAACCCAAGAAGCATCCCTGAGGACTCTGGCCCACTTCAGCGTCGTCGTCGTCGCCGCCGCCGCTGGTGTCGTCGTCGTCGTCGTCGTCGTCGTCGTCGTCGTCGTCGTCTCCCTCCAGGGTCGGCGGCACGGGCCGTAAAGCCTTCTCACGGCCCCAAGGGCACGGCCCCGAGAGGCCTACAAGACAGCCTCCGAAATCGCCAGGCTGCAGAAACGCGCCTCAAGGCGGACCAGGAAGGGCCCCCCACGATGGCTCCAGGAAGCCACCAATACGACAAAAACGGCTAACACCAGCACCGCCCAAGACGGCTCCGCGAGGCTCCTTCCTTGTGTGCTTCCCAATGATTCCCCAAACGAGTCGGGGAACACGCAATCTACTAGAGTGGCTGCAATTTCGCTCGACATTTCACCACACAAGCGTTTCAAAAAGACGAGTGAAACGCGGCGGTGACTCGCCGTACGTATATCCAATATATGCGTGTACGTGTTAATTGAAGTGTGAGTAGTACCAGCAGTGACAGCCGAAATACACAGAGTAATTATACTGATCATACGAATTGTAGTACTGCTGACCGTCGTAGGCACATCAACCATACTGGTACGCACTGGTAGGACTGATGATCGTGCACAGGCGCACATGCTCATGCCAGCGTCGACAACACGGCTGTACTGCATTGTGCCCACACGACATTCAATACTGCACACTCTGCCTCGACAACCACCATTCACTGAATGGCCGCGCCTTCGCTGTCGAACTCGCCCGCCATGCGTTTCCCGTCGACCAAATCCAAGGCCGTGTCGCCGCACGCCAATGCGCACTCACTGGAACTGCTGGCGATGTCCGGCGGCACCTGGGGCACGATGACAGGGACGCCGTATCATGAAACATACGGTGTGTGCATTTCGCATGCGAGAACAACACGATCTATCGACGGACATGTGGGAGCCTGACGTGCAAGAACGGAGCCAGCGGGAATTCGGCCCCAGCTAAACAGAGACTTGGCTCATGTGGTCGTTCGCGCCACTCCGCACACATTCTCGGTGTGCTGTAGCCGCGCGCGGACCCAGGGCGAACCTGGCCCCTCAGGACCTCAGGAGAGGACCACAGTCATCACGAGAGGACTGGGACGAGAGGACGGGAGAAAGTCGAAGAGGACGCGGGAGGGAGGGATGAGGAGGACAACGACGGAGAAAACCACGAGGACATCAACCGCCCTTACCCCCTCTCCCGTTCTCTGCCTGCGATGTGAAACCCCTTCATCGGCCACCTTGTCCCCTGGCACGCGAAGGCGCTGCACAGTGCAGAATGATGTCTAGCATGTCTAGCAGGGCCTGTGCAGTCTTCTAGAGAGGAGGAGGAGAAGGAGGAGAAGGAGGAGGAGGAGGAGGAGGGGGAGGAAGGGGAGGAGGAGGAGGAGGGATGAGGAGGAGGATTTTGTTGGGCACGACCGCCGCACTGCATGCTTAAAGCACACTGAAAGTATCTTGGAGCAGGGTCACCCCACTCTCCTTGGGGTGGAGCCCCCTGCAAATCCGATTCCAGCTATGCGGGTTATACTTCTTGTCGAGCCCCGTCTTGCTATCTTTCGGCGGGCCCGTGCAAGCACTGCCGAGTTTGGCAAGACGGCCACCTGAAGTATACCCTTTACAGGAGGTGCACACGACCATCAACCAGTCATTCGAGCAGTCGAAAATAACACACCTGTGCTGGAAATCCCGGAGTGCCTGCACGCTGATTCTCGGCACTCCGCGACAACGGCCAGGAGGAGGCGTGGCATTGCAGGCGCTCCTGGCCGTTCGCAGGCAAACAGAGCACTGCCAAAAACGCTGTGACCCAGCGGGCGGGCCCCTCCATTCCCACAGATGGGGAGCGGGGGCCTCCCTCGGGACAATCGCCGCTGGCGACCTCCACTCCGCACCAGACACCGTTCTGGGCCAGAGCGGTAGCGCAGCCGCCGCCAGGCGTACCACGTACTGGGCACACTCAAGAGAACGCCCGACAGCAGAGGACAGATCGTCCGACGGCAAGGGATGCATAGCGGCGCCTGGCTTCGCGGCACGGTCAGCCGCATCGTTGCCGACCCGCCTAAGACGCTCGGCTTCGCCGATGTCTGGGCAATCTGGGGCCAGGTGCGCGCGCGCCTTCTCACGCCCAAGCAACCTTTGCCCCCAAGAGACCGCCCCTGCAACACAAACCCCGCATAAGGTCGCTTGGGTGAGAGACGCTGTAAGTCTTGCATGCCGTGCATGCTGGCCACGTTGGCACAGTCGGAGTAGAGTTGCGAAGGCGCCGAAACCAGGGCACCAGCCATGGCGTAGGCCGCAAACTCTCCCGCCTGTGGAGTCTGTGGGCAGCTGTTCCACACAGGGCCCCATGCCAAGGCGAGCAAGTTGCCGCGGGGGCCGAGCATTGCGATCCCCCATCCAGCTCTGTTCGATTCTCGCACTACCCGGCGCGTGCAAGACCCGTCAAGAAAAATGTGGCCCCACAGGTTCCGTGAACCTTCAGGGGGAACCTCCATGTCTTCGGCATCGAAGCCGTCAGGGAAAGATCGGAATCGGATGCCGTCGTCATCGCCCCCTTCGTCGGCCATCGGGGGGGGGGGGGGCACCCCCGCAGGATGCTGGACAAGTCCTGAAACCACCTCGAACGGTGCGCGCCCCCCGTTCCGCTCGACGTTGTCACGAACGCTGTCCAGGAAGGGCTGAGGCACGATAGCGGCGCGAGCTTCGGCGACAGCCGGGCATGCCCAGAGCCTGTGGAACAGCGTGTCCCCATGGGGCATTGCACAGCGAGCGGACGTCCCCGACGTCGTAGCCCGCCTCGCGGGCCCTAGAGAGGGGCCAGAGACCTTGGCAGGCAAGGCACCGAATCACCCCCTTCTGCCTGGCCGAAAATTTCCTAGATCGGGTGGCCGCAATGACGACATCAACACGCAACCGATGCACCCCGTCACTTCCGTACTTCGACGCCGCCTCCCGCTCGAGACTTCTCCACACCCCTTCCCTGAGAAGGATTTTGAGGAGCGCAGGAGAGGTGAGGGCGAGGGGGCGGTGGGCCCCCAGGTCGCTGATCAACCGAAGGCATAGAGCAGCGGTGGGCCCCCAGGTCGGTGGGCCCAGGGCGAAGGCATGGACCAGCCGATCCTTTGAAGGGGCAACTTAAGGGCTCCGATGGGCCCCGCCACCGAACGCCACGTCCAGGGAATCGGGCAACTAGCATTCCAAAGGTCCCGAAGCTCTTTCCAGGAGAAGCAAAAATCGGTAGCCCGAGAGCGCCTGGCCCAAACCTCCTTAGACCATCGGATGATGGGAGAAACCGCGCCGAACCACGCGGGGTCCCCTTCGATCCTGGACAAAATTGTTAAACTGCGGCCGCCGACGGCCGGCTTCATTTTTTCCGCACAGAGCCTCCGAATCTTCAAAATTTCACCATCACTGCAGCCGTGCACCTCGCTGCCGTACGTGATACCTGGCAAAGGCCCAGCAACTCAGAGTTTGATCGCCCTGCGTCCTAGAACAGCTCGCTGGCGGACAAGCCGCCCGACTCGGCGCTCCGCCTTCGCCAGCCTCGCCTTTGCACGTGCGTTGCGACACCGAACACGGCGGGCGCCTCCTACTGTGTCGACAATACCAAGGGTAGTCGCGGCATGCGAATGAGCTCCTCCAAACGGCCCCAACCGTCGCTGGATGTGTCTGGAGATTTCGTGGAAGATGAAATGAGACCCACCTTTTCAAGGGAAACGTTCGCATGCAAACAACCCGAAATAACGCTATGCAGCTGACTAGCCGCGTCGGCGAGGTCCCGACAAATCATTTTAATCGATCCCGTCGCATTGAGCCCCATATCGTCAATGTAAGCGTCGAAGGGCACGCTGCGAGGGATAACCAGCCTGTCGAAGGCCTCTAACGCAAAAGCGCTAATCAGGGTCGTGGCGAAACTGCAACCCGCGATGATGCCCGCACGCGCATACATGGGGCAAGCCACGACCCCTCCTAACACAACAAACCTCGCGGCCCTGTGCCCCGCCAAACACCGAAGAAATGGGGTCGGGAAAGTTGTGCTGTCTATACCTTAAAGCCAAAACTTCCAAGGGGATCCGCTGGTAATACTTAATGAAGTCCCACAGCAACGTGCACGCATGCTGAGACTGACTGCGCGCCTTCTCCGATCGAGCCGCCTGTCTCCAGACGACGTCGCTCGCCGACTTGTACTGGCCAGCCGCCCAAAAAGCACGCTGGTTGGCCGTCTCCCATTCCACAGCAAGGTGATGACGGCACTTGCCCCAGAGGCGGTACAGGCTGGGAAGCGCTCCTATCGGACGGAATCCCGAGGACGGTTTAGGCAGCATCGCGATGATGACTGCTCGCAACTGAAAAGGCAAGGACCCAGTTAATTCCATCAACGTGAAAAACCGAGAGAGGGCCAGCAAGGCCCCGTCCGACAGGATCGCGAAGTGGCGCTAGTGAGAATCGTCCAGACCCACCGCGGACCTATGGGCAACAGTTTTGGAAATCTTGCAGATTTCTTCAACGGAGATAAGGGGGGGGGGATCGTTGATCTTCCCGCCCTGCTTGACGGGTAAGTCTAAAGCTTCCCACAGGCCGCGGAATCGCTTGGCCTCGTCAGCCAACAGGGACTGCGGGTCGGACACCACGCAGCCGTTGGCGCTGAGGGTCGTGCTGGCCTTCCAGGCCTGCGGGTCCTTTGTGAACGCGTGAGCCCTCCTTCCTCCTTGGCCCACCGACTCCGTGAGCCAGTCCGCCCAGTCCTTCCGAGCCTGCGACGAATAAAAAGTTGAGCACTGCTCAACGAACTCACAAACCGCGCCCCCCAAATTCTCGGCGCGGACCTGGGGCGTGTCCCCCAGAAAGCTACGACCGAAGCAATCCGAGGCCAGCTGGGAACCATGTCCAGAATTTCAGGGAGACCAGGAAAGTCGGGCGCCTCGGGGCCCGAGGCTTCCGATCCAAAGAACTCGGCTCCAGGACAGGGCTTACACAAACTCGGGGGAGGGGGGGGGGGGGGGGGGGGGGCGACGCAAGAACGCGAACCGCAACGCGAGCCTGAAGCCAATCCGACCGCAAAACAGCCCCCCTGGAAACGCTTGAAATGACTGGCAGGCCAACGGCTCGCGTGGAGCTGCGGGCACCTGGCACAACCTTTGTCATTCCCGAGGGTGGGCCTCCAGTGGGTGATGGGCCCCTTGCCCCTCGACCCCAGACAGGCAATTCAACCCCCGAGGTCCTGGCCAGCTCCCGCTCCGCCAAGCCTGCCCAAGAGGCGTACGCCTCGCTAAACAACTTGGAGGTCATGGCAACGTCGTCTCCACGCCGCGCCCTGGTAGATGCTGCGTCCAGCAGTGCCTGCACCCGCTCGAACTGATGAGGTGCGGGCTGAGGACCGAGCGGTGGTGCCGAAGGTAGCGAGGGCGGCTTCCTGAAAGTAAGGTAGTGCATCTTCGCCATCCCCGCGTGGAAGCAAAGACGAACAGGAATATGAGGAAAGAAACCGCATCTTCGACTGGTTCGATACTCTGGACCGCCTTCGACACACCCGACGAGAGGACAAAGTCACCAAATTCCCTGCCTTCGCCAGAATGGCAGGTAGCCTTGCCCGTGCAGATGGCCTGGCCTATGAGCGACGAGACGAAGCTAGACCCTGCTAGAGTCGACGGTTCCATGTTCCAGTCTCCTCCGACGATGAACGGTTTGCCACAGGTGGACCCCAGATCCCCTACAGCCGACAGGGTTTCCAGGTTCGCTTCGGACAATCCTTCCCAGTCCCTGAGGTACACTGAGCAAAACAAAACCGAGTCGCCCTGGGGGGCGTGCACTTCGGCCGCCAAGGCCCGACGCGGGTCCACAACAGACCCCGAGGACGGCGGGTGCAGCCCCAAGGACTTCCTACACAAAATCGCGACTCCCGCAGACGCCCCCCCCCCCCCCTGGGCCTATGGTCGCGGGGGCCCGGAGGCTTTTGAAACCGAGGCCCAGGCAAGTAGAAGACGCGCGGTCCAGGGGCTCCTGCGAAAGCAATTTGTGTTCCTGGACCAGAATCACCTCAACTCTAGCACTAGGCAGCCAATCTTTGACCGACCACCACGAGTTGCCGTTCACGGAGACGACGCTCAAACGAAACGGCTCGGAGGGGAAAAAGGGCCCTTCAGGCGACTGAAGCTGCCAGCGCGTCCTGAGGCTGGAATTTTCGAAGCTGCATCGAGCGCGACGCGAGGGGGGGAACAACGCTGCGGGCGACCCCTGGACTCCGAAGGGTCGCCCCCAGACAAGAAGTTCGAGCGTGCCAGGCCCTCAGAAATCAGACGAGAATGACGCTGCGTGACCCCCCCCCCGCCCCTTAAACAGGGCTGCCGCCAGGGGGGGCCTCTTGCTGAGGAGGGCCACCTCCCCGCTCTGCCCGGGCCTGGACACGATGGGCGACGGCAGCGACTTCGTCCCTGACGCGCCCCGCGGCGGCAGCAGCGTCGGGCGCGCCGCCGGGCAGCGCCGCGACAGCTCCGCCCGCAGGCCCATCGGGTAGGCAGTCAGCCCACGGGCCGTCTCCTGGCACCGAACCTACAGGAAGATCGCAATCAGCGCCCCGCCGCCGCTTGCCCGCGATGCGCTCCAGGTGCAGCTCGCGCTCCTTCTTGACCGCCTCCGCCTTCGCAACCGCGCCCTGGAAGAGCTGCTTGGCGGCGGCGGCGAAGTGCTCCTTAAACTTAGCGCGGCGCTTCTCGACCTCGTCGACGTCGGCCTGCTCCAGCTCGAGTTCGCCAGGGAAATCGCTGAAGACCGTCGAGAGCCGGCGCGCGCGCGCCCGGAGACCGACGGGGACCTGCGAGAGCGCTGGACGCCCCCGCCCTTCGTTGATAGGGGAACCAAAAGTGGCATAAACATAAAAACACAAAACAAACATAAACATAAACATGACATAAAATACATAAGCAAAACAAGACATAAACATAAACATAAAAGACATCAACAAGTGGCATAAACATAAAAACTCGGAGGTCCGCGCGGATTTCTCGGATCGGCGCTGGACCCCCCGCCCTGGCGCGCGGAGCGCGCCAGGGGCGGCGCCTCCGGCGCCGCCGGGGGGGCCCCATCGCCGCTCCGAGGAATCCGCGCGGACCTCCGAATTTTTCTGTTTATGCCACTTGTTGTTCCCCTGGTTGAGATCCGCGGGTCCGGGCACTCGGCCCTTGGAAGCACGCGGCGGCCTGCCTCCCCACAACACCCCAGGCCGCGCCAATGAAGGCGCCCTGGGACACAAATAAATATACACAACTAACAGGATTCCCCATATTTTCAAATATTTTCTGGGTTTTCGTCTTCCCCCCTCATATTTTCCCATACCTTCCTGGGAATCGACGATTCATTGTGTCTGTGTGTTTTTTCCCCTCCTGAGCCAAGGGGGGCCACAGCGAGGGGGTTCGCCGCCGCCTCGGAGAAGGCGGGCCTTCAGGACCCAGCACGCTCAGCACGCCAGGCCGTCCAACACGCTCGAGGTCGTCCGACAGTCTCCTCGATTCTCGGTGCTCAAGTCTCGATCCTCGAGTCTCGATCCTCGAGTCTCGATTCTCACTTCACGACCCCCCCAAGCGGTGACCCCCGGAGGCACTCCCCCACAGAGCCCCTGGGAGGAAGCGTCGAGCTGGAATCGGCGATGCGTCGCCGACCGATCGGCAAGAGGCCCCGCCGACGCCTGGGACGCATCCGCGAGGTCCTGGGCGGCGTGGGCTCCCGGGCCCCCGTCGGCGATGAGTGGGCGACCCGGGGCCGAGCAAGGAGGAGGAGGAGGAGGAGGAGGAGGAGGAGGAGGAGGAGGAGGAGGAGGAGGA